CATCCTCCTCTTCCTCCTCCTTCTCCTCCTCCTCCTCCTCCTACTCCTCCTCCTCCTCCTCCTCCTCCTCCTCCTCCTCCTCCTCCTCCTCCTCCTCCTCCCTCTCCGCTCCTCATACGTCGGAGATCATGGGGACGCGCCCTGGAATCAGTACGGGTCCGCAGGTTATCGTCCCGTCGCCTCGAGCCCCAGCCTGTGGGCACGATCATGGCTCGATCACGTCTGCCGCTGCATACAGTGGAAACCCATGCCAAGAAACACCCTGCTTGCTTCCAGGGTGCCCTGGGTTTCACTGGTTTCGCTGGTTCTGCTAAGGAAAGCTGTACGTTCCCACACCAAAAGCCAATGGACGTCCTAGGGTCTCAAGACTGGGTTTCTTGTGAAAGGTTTCTCATGGTCGAGCTCCTACTGTAGTATCTCCGCCCCACCAGATCACCTGCCCAGGTGGCAGTAGGAGACGGTTTGTTCATTCCCTGGCGATGACGAGCGTGACCGGGAGGGAGATGGGGGGCTGGTCACGCCACGATCCGCGCCGGCGCCGTCTGGACATGCTTAAGATCTACTCATTCCAAGACGGCGCTGGCGCGAATCGCGGCGAGGGGAGAGGGGAGAGAGCGCGGTCGGTCACAGGCGTTACCGCGAATCAGCAAATTTGGCTCCAGGTCCCGCGAGCCCCAAAGGGAACAGCACATACTCTGGATGGGGATTTATCAGGGAGGGATTAACCTTCCGACTGAGCACACACCCCAGCGGATCCAAGGAGTGGACGATTAGTGTCCCATCCAGAGTACGTATCCACACCTGGGGGGGGTTGTAGTCGACCGCTGGGCCCAAGGTAGTGCCAGCCGGTGAGACCATACCACCTTAGTACCACGACAGAAAGTACGACCCCAGGTATCCGAGGACAAGATGCCTCCAATCCTGGCGTTTTTCCTTGAGCTCGGCCTCTGAGGGCCTTTGTTGGGCCCTGGGGCCGTCCACGAAACTGTTCGGGATCAAAGACCAGCATTGGGGAAGTTTCGGGACATCTGGTGGCCCGTAATGAGAGATCAAGACGTCGGGCCTCCCGGTGTCTCCGCTGCACCCAGGGGGTGGGGCCCCTCGCCGGCGCGGCCTTGTGGTGCGCGGGCACGCGTCTTCGGACGTGCTCATCGGTTCCTGGAGGTCTTCCTGCTGTTTGTGTCTGCGTAGCAGCCCCTGCGCCTCGCCGATAGCTTCCCTGGGGCTGTCCGAATCGTCCCGGGAGGCCGCCGAAGGCCCAAGCTGTGACGCTCTTTGGGCTTCCCGCTTTTGCCAGTGCTGGGCCATACCCCTGGCCAGAGCCAGCCAGGCGTTGAGCATCGCAACGTCACGGCCATCGTTGGCACTGGCGCCCCGTCTCCTGATCTCGCCCCTGTGCCTCTTCCCTCCCTCCTGTGTCCCTTTCGGCCCAAGCCTCCCAGAGGAGGGGCGCGTGGACAGCTCCTTCCCTCCCTCCCTCCTCCCTCCCCGTCCCCCTCCATCCTCCTCCTCCTCCTCCTCCTCCTCCTCCTTGTCTTCCTCCTCCTCCTCCTTGTTCTCCTCCTTCTCCTCCTCCTCCTCCGTCCTCCTCCGTCCTCCTCCTCCTCCTCCTCCTCCTCCTCCTCCTCCTCCTCACTTCTGGCAAGCATCCCAAGTTTGCTTCAGTATGGTTGGACAGCAGCAGCATCATCATCATCGTCATATTCATCAACATCATCGTCATCATCATTATTCTCACCCATCCCCCTCCCCCTCCCCCTCCTCCATCCCTTTGCCTTATCACCTCCTTCCTGTCACACCTCGGGATGTCGGTAGGGCGGGCCGGGCGTTTCGCCTGACAGTTTCTCACCGCTTATGACATTGAAGCTAACATCCTTCAAGAGCCTCATAGATGGAGGGCGGGTGGTTTTCGAAATGTGGCTCTCGCCTTAGCGCCGCGCATACTTGTCTTAACAGTTTGCATGGGCTTCACGGATGGAGGGCGGGTGGTTTTCAAAATGTGGCTCTCGCCTGAGCGCCGCGCACACGCGTCTTGAACTTTCCCAGCAGTTCTACGTATTCGCATGGTCGCCGTATCAGGAACAGCGTTCTGGCACGATGTTGGATTCCCAGGACGCAGCAGTCGCGTTGCTTCACGGTGTCAAGATCCCAGGGATTGCATCTTGGCGCGATTCAAGATCGTCAGGACGCCACAGCGTAGAAGTCCCAGGAGATGTGCTTTGGCACGATGGGCGGATCTCAGACGGCGGGCTTCCAACGGGGCATTTCCCGCAGTGCATCTATAGATATACACATCCAAATATATGTTAGTGTAGGGACTTGTGCAGAACATAGAGGGCGGGTTTACTGCAACATCGTCGCTGCGTCTTGGTTTTACTCTTGTCCTCAACCTCCTCCTCCCTCCCCTCCTAACCCCCCTCCTCCCTCCTCCCTCCTCCCTCCCCTCCTCTTCCCCCTCCTCCTCCCCTCCCCCCCTCCTCCCTCCCCTGCTCACCCCCCTCCTGGGCTTTCCTGGACAATAGGGCCCGCGTCCCGCCGCCCGCCCCGATGGCGCCGCGCGGGGCCGGCGACCCCGGGGCCAAAGCGTGGCGACACGGCGGCGGGGCGCCCGCAGGCCGGCGGGCGCGGGCGAAAGCGGCTCCTCGGCTCCTCGTCGGCTTTTCGGCTCCTCGTCGGCTTTTCGGCAGCAAGTCACGGGAGTCTGGCTCCTCGGCTCCTCGTCGGCTCCTCGGCTCCTCGGCTCCTCGTCGGCTCCTCGGGCGCGGGGCCTCCCTCGGCTCCTCGTCGGCTTTTCGGCAGCAAGTCACGGGAGTGTGGCTCCTGGGCTCCTCGTCGGCTCCTCGGCTCCTCGTCGGCTCCTCGGGAACGGGGCCCTCCCTCGGCTCCTCGTCGGCTTTTCGGCAGCAAGTCACGGGGGTCTGGCACATCCCCGGATTCCCTTCGGGGATCATCCGTTAAACTTGGAACGATACAGAGAAGATGAGCATGGCCCCTGCGCAAGGATGACACGCGCAAATCGAGAAGTGTATACCATACGGGAGTCTGGCATATCCCCCTTAGCTCCGTCTTTCGCGTCGACTGGCGTCGATCTGCGTCTGGAGTCGATGGGATAGCGCCGATTCAGCGCCGGCTAGCGTCGATCAGCATCGATTCGCAAGAGCCGACAAGATGGTATTGGAGGGCCCCACGAGTTGCCACCGAAGGCTCTGCTCGAGTAAGAAAATGGCATGAACGTAAAACTTTCGACTGCTCTCGTGGGACCCCCTGGATCGGCGCGGGCCCCCCTGGAGGCGCCTCCGGCGCCGCCCCTGGCGCGCGATGGGGGGCTAGCGAAGATCCAAGACATCCGCGCGAACCGTCGAAGGTTGACGATTATGCAGGTTCTTCTTCTTCTTCCTGTATCCTCGCTCCTCTCTTGCTCATGAGGTCTCCGACGATGTGCTTGTTCTACTCCCGGAGCTTGTGCTCCGAATCTGGCCTCTGGGGCCATTCCTCGGGCCCCGCGGGACAATCAGAAGCAGATCCGTGACAAAAAAGATCCTGGTCGAAACATCTGGGGCCGCGGATCGAAACATCCATATCAACGGATGTTTGGCGCCTCGCGGGTGGCCTTGGACCTGCTTCCTCCAGACCCGCCTCGCCAAGGGCATTCGTGCTCCCTCCTCCCTGCTCCTCCTCCTGAGACCGCCCTCGCCCCCACTCTTCTCTTCCTCCTCCTCCTCCTCTTCCTGTCGCTGTCGCTTCTGGCTCCAATGTCGGTTACGACGCAGCCCCTTCCCCCACCCCTACTGAGGCCGTTGCCCGGGGGGGCTGATCAAACTAAGGTCTCGATGCGCTTGCCAGCTGCGGTCTTCGCGCCGTGCAGGGTGGACGGCTGAAAAGTCGCGTTCCTCCTCCGCCCCACCGCCGCGCCTCCCCCCTCCCCCCGCCGTCTACCTGGCCCTCCACGTTGAGGGCGTGTCCGCACCAGAGGCGCGCGCCGAGGGAGAGGAAGGGGAAGGCGAGGAGCAAAGCATATGAAGGGCGAGGGCAGGGACAGGCTGAGTGAGCCATCAGCCATCCGCGGTGGTGTTCGCGCTCGGGGTGGCTCCGGCTGCGCGAGATGTCGGCGGTGGTGTTCTCGCTGATGGTGGTTGTGAAAATTGCGGCTCAAGTGAGGGGTGGGCTCGGCGCTCCCAGCCTCGAGGGGGCGGGGAGGAGGCGAGGGGATGATGTTCAGAAGCCGAGGGAGTCTCCGCATACGACCCTCCACTGGAATGTTCCTGGGCATCGGGGGGGGGGGGTACCGGCCACCACTGAGAGCCAGCGATGTTCTACACCGCCGCCCTCCCTGAAGGTACATATAAAGTTCGTCGGAACACACATACCTACCTACCTACCTACCTACCTACCTACCTACCTACCTACCTACCTACCTACCTACCGACCGACCGACCGACCGACCGACCGACCGACCGACCGACCGACCGACCGACCGACCGACCGACCGACCGACCGACCGACCGACCGACCGACATACATACATACATACATACATACATACATACATACATACATACATACATACATACATACATACATACATACATACATACATACATACATACATACATACATATATGTGTGCATGTACATATTTATGTATGTACACATATATCGATCGATACCTGTATATATGTATAGATGTATATGCGTTGGTGGCGTAGGGACTCAGGGAGGAGAAGTACTGCTTGGAATGGAAACGCTCCGCCAGAAAGTGCGTCCAGCGCGTTGGTTCGCCTGCAGCTAGCGGTTCTGCCAGTAGCCGTACCGACAGCGGGTGCGCTGAGCTCTAGGGTTGGGTGGTTCACCCCAGTAACCGCCCCGGTTCCCAAACAGCGTGTTGGCACGGCGCACAAAACAAATGGCATTTTGTTGGAAGCCCACCCGTCTCGGTGCTTTGTGTGGAGGGCTCTTTTCGGGTTTAGCACCGTAGCCCCACGTAGCAGGTGACGTGGGCGATGGCGGCAGCAGCCGCGAGCAGGTAGCTAGACAGGCGCAGGCTTCCTCACAGGCCGACAGAAGGGAAGATGAGGAGGGCAATCAAGAAGTGTAGGAAAAGGGGACGAGAGGGAGGCTGGCGAGGCAGCGTGGCTGGTAGCTGAGCGGCGCGGCTTGCGCCTTGGACCGCGACCGCCCCGGCCCTAGCCAGGGTGGCCGGCGGCTCGTGTTCCGCAGAAGCAGGACCCACCGAGCCGCTCTGCCACGAGAGTGAGAAGGTGAAGGCCAGTGGTGCGCGAAGCGGGCGGGCCAGTTAAGGGGCAAGTGAGCGGCAAGAGCGGGGGGGGAGGTTGGGCGAGGTGGCCCACGGTGTCCAGGCCTTTAGCCGGTCGTTTACAACAGTGGCGGCCCACCAATTCGTCCGTCAGCTGGGCCGTCGACAGCAGCGTCGGGCAGGGAGTAGGGTGGGGCGTTGGTGGGGTCGGGTGGGGGGTCCCAGGGAGTGGCCAACGGCTGCCCCCATGACAGCTCCCCAGGTGTGCTCCCCACGGGCTCCTTCTCAGGGCATGCGGCCACTCGGGGCGCGGCCATCGTGGGGGCCGTTGGTTGGCGGGGTCGTGTGGGACGTCGGGAGAGGGGTCGTGGGGCGAGGGGGCGCGGGGGGTCGTGGCGTAGCGTTGTAGTGGTGGGTGGGGGCGTGGGGTGCCACAGGGTCTCTGGCCCCGATCGCGATCGCGGAGAACTCCTCGGTCCCCTCCTTGTGGTGTCGAGGGCCGGTGTCCCTTGACCAGGTCGTGAACGGTCTCCCCGCTCCTCTCTCGTCGGCCTGGGCCTTTGGAGCTCTCCAAGGGGCCGCCCCTCCTCCGACGGGGGGGTCTGGGGGATCGATGGATCGGGGGGTGGTGAGACTAAGGGGGATTGGAGACTAAGGAGGTGTGGGTGGAGTGATGTTATGCTTCACGCCGGCGAAGCTGAAGTTGCAGGTGGTAGAGCCTCCCTGTCAGAGCCCCCGCGCTCTGAGCTGCTCGCCCTGCTAATGTTGCTTTCACTCACGGAAGGAAATATTCTGGTGTTTTCAGATTATAGTTCCCTCTTGCGGGGCTTTCGGGAAGCTCCCGGGCATGTTGTGAGGAGTAAGAGTAGCATGCTGGACTTTCGGGCTCGTGTTTGGAATCTTCTCGGGATGCGTTCGGGCCAGGTTGATCTCCGCTGGACGAAAATCCACGCCTCCCAGGCACAAATCTGTGATATGCAAATCTCGAGAGTGGGGCTAATTTGGAGCAGTGCAGCTGACTTGCGTGCTGGTGAAGGCGCCCGTAGGGGCCAGTTGGGAGCCCAGGAAATCAATACTGTCAGTGACGCGGGCGCCCTCCAGGAGAAGATTGTGTTGCGCCTCCTTGCTATCCAGCGCGAAGTGTTCTTCGCCTGCTACCGAGAGGCCCCCTCCCCCAAAGGTCTGGCGGCTGCCCGCAAGAGGTCGGGCACCACCAGTGCTGAGGCGAGAGAGAGGGAGAGAGAGAGAGAGAGAGAGACGGCTGCTGGCCGCTGGCCATGACGCATCTCGTCTCAGCACTGTGTTCCGTTGTTTTCGGTGTGCCCGATCGTTTCCTCGCAAGGGGCCCCTGTCGCATTTCTGGCATAAGATTTGCGTCCCCTTGGCGGAGTTCGGACAGGTTTCAAGGGAGTGGGCTCCCCAGGCGGAGAGGGAGAGCGCCGAGCCGCCCCCGCTGGTGGTGGCGGACCCGCAGGCGCGCCGCCCACCCTGCCGACCATCCTTTGTTCTCTACCGTCCATCCCTCGCATACGCTCGCTACATGTCAGGGCGTGTTGTTCTGTCGAGTGCGCGGGGCGTTCGGTGCTGGTCAGGCCCGCAAGTTGTTGTGCGAATGCGGGCCTCCATCTGCGAAGTGGCGGGAGGCCCTCTCTCGGTTGTTTCGAGGACTCCCGCCTAAGCCAGGCATGTGTTTCCCCGTGCGGGGGTGCGTGTCATGTGCGCCCAGGCTCGCTCTTGGCCACCGCAACCGCAAACGCAATCGCAATATCCGCCTGCTTCTCCTCGTCGCGCCCTGGCGGCGATCGCGGTCTGTCCGCGGTCTTGAGTGTTCCCTTCCTTTTTTCCACCTCCCCCACCTCCTCCTCCTCCTCTGCCCCTTCGTCCCCCTCCAGGAGAAATGTGCGTGGGGAGGAGGATCGCGTGGGGTGGGCACGGGGCGGGGTGTGCGTGCGCGTGGGGGGGGGGGGGGGGGCGGGGGGGGGGGGGGGGGGGGGGGGGGGTGGCGGGGGGGGGGCGGGGCGGGGTGGGGTGGGGTGGGGTGGGGGGGGGGGTGGGGGTGGGGGTGGGGCCGGGGGGGGGGGGGGGGGCGGGGGGGGGGGGGGGGGCGGAGGGAGACGAGGAACGAGGAACCAGGCTGAGGGGGGAGGAGGGGGCGGAGGAGGAATCTGAGTTGAAAGAAGAAGGGAGGAAGAGGACGATGAAAGGAATAAGAACTGCAAGAATGAGGAGTGCGGAGGAGGAGTGAGGAGGATGAAGAGGATCGGTCGGTAGTGAAAGAAGAAGGGAGGAAGAGGACGATGAAAGGAATAAGAACTGCAAGAATGAGGAGTGCGGAGGAGGAGTGAGGAGGATGAAGAGGATCGGTCGGTAGTAGCAGGAGGAGGAAGAGGAGGAGGAGGAGGAGGAGGAGGAGGAGGAGGAGGAGGAGGAGGAGGAGGAGGAGGAGGAGGAGGAGGAGGAGGAGGAGGAGGAGGAGGAGGAGGAGGAGGAGCGCGAGGAGGAGGAGGAGGGGGAGAGGAGGAGGAGGAGGCGGAGGAGGAGGAGGAGGTGGAGGAGGAGGAGGAGGACGGGGGAGGGGGAAGGGGAGGAAAAGGAGGACGACGATGGAGAGGGGGAGCGAGGAGGAAGGGTAGGCAGAGATAGAGCGAGGGGGAAACCATATGTCCCTACTGTTCATCCTGCGTCTCCGCATCCCGAGTCCGTGCAACGTTCGCAAGAGAATGCGTGGAATGCGCGCGGCGCGAGGGAGAAAGCGACGACCCCGAAACGTTGGAGACGAGTGTGCGCGGCGCTAGGGTGAGAGTCCGATGTTGCGAAGTAGCTGCCCTGCATCCGTGCAAGTGTGGGCAAGTCCTGTAGTTTCGATGACAAGCTGTGAAGCGGCTTCAGTCGCAGCATTTTGCAGGCGCATGGAGTCAGGAATAACTTATTCCTCCCTCGTCCCGTTTCCCCTCATCCTCATTATCCTCCTTCTCCTTGTCGTCCGCGTTTCTCCACCGTCCTCTGGTCCTTGTCCTCCGTCCGCCACCTCATCCTCCCCCCTTCTCGTCCCGCCCTCCCGCCTTCCTTTCCCGTGCCCCCGCGTTCCCCTCCTCCCCCCTCTCGCCCCTCGCATTTCCGAACCCCCTTTCAGAAGCATCCCCCCTCCTGGGCATCGCTGTGGCAGGGATGTCGAGTCGAACCCTTCCGCCGCAACGAGGGCCTCCCAAGGAGGTCCCCAAGAACTTTCCTTCGGGGAAGAGACGAAGAGGAGGAGGAGGAGGAGGAGGAGGAGGAGGAGGAGGAGGAGGAGGAGGAGGAGCAGGACGAGGAGCAGGAGGAGGAAGAGGACTAGTGCAAGCCCAAGGAACCAGTGATGTTGCAACCCACCGCCCCGTCAAGTTCCGTATCCATGGGCCCCTGCAACAATTACGTTCGTCGCGGGGAATGTCTGGATGAAAGACAACCGTCTGAGAAATACCAGTCGTGCCAAAACACCACCCATGAGAATTCGATTTCGCGAATCATCCTGACCACTGCGCGCTGGCAATCCTAGGTCTTTGGTCGTGCCAGAGCACCTTTCCTGGGACTCCAACGCCGCGGGTCGATGTGACTGGTGCGTCCTGGCAAGTCTAATCCGTGCCAGCACGCCAGTCCTGGGACTCCAACCGTACGAATCCCCAAGACTATCGTCGAGACGAGCGCGTGCAACGCTGAAGCGAAAACCATTGTTTGAAATGAAACCACCCTCGACCATTACACTTCCGGCAGGCTTTTTGCGACAGACGCTCGCGGCGCTTAGGCGGGAACCACATTGTGGAAACCAGCCGCCCTCCGCCCTTGAAGTTGCTGCAAGCTTTTCAGACGAGTGCGCGCGGCGTCGGGGCGAGAGCCACATGTTGAAAACCATTCGCCCTGCTTCCGTGAAGCTGTTGCAAAGTTCGCGCTTAGGGGTACAAATCGGGAAAAGTCGAGCGGAACGCGTGTCCCGCCCTACCCTCACGTCCTGGGGTGCGACAGTAGGAATTGCCGATGAGGAAAAGGGATGATGAGGAGGAGGAGGGGGAGGAGGAGGAGGAGGAGGAGGAGGAGGAGGAGGAGGAGGAGGAGGAGGAGGAGGAGGAGGAGGAGGGGGAGGGGGAGGAGGAGGAGGAGGAGGAGGCCTCTGCTCGACCTCCGAAGGCCTCCTCCTTCTTTGCCTCCTCCTCCTCCTCATCGAGGGAAGGACGATGACGACGACGGCGACGACGACAAAACGACGACGGCGACGACGACGACAGCGACGACGACGACTGGGCTTGGGGAACAAGCAACGACATAAACGTAACCATTCGGAGGCCGGCGCGGAGTCATCGGATCGGCGCCGGACCCCCTCCCTCGTGCGCGGAGCGTGCCAGGTGTAAAACGACGCGAAGATCGGGACAAAATCGGATCGGGATAACTCGAAATCTCTGAGAATCGGTTTGGAAGATGTATTGGGCGCCGCGGCCGCTCCAGAGCGTTCCGGAACGCTCTGAGAGCGCTCCGGAACGCTCTGGAGCGATTTATCCTGATCCTAGCCCTGTTTTAAGGTGCAGCGCCAGAGGCGCAACTGGAGGCCCCAGTGCAGATCCGAGGAATGCGTGCGGACACCCGAGGTGTATGTTTATGTCATTGTTTGTCCCCCTATGATCGAGAAACGTATGACTCGAGTAAGCTGGAACTCGGGCTTGCCGACGTTTTTTGACGAGGGCGCTCTGGATTTTGGCGATCCGGTTTTCGGGGGACGTTTCCAGCGGGAGCTCGCGTCAACTTTCAGATCGGATCTCGTCATTTTCACTGATGGCCTTGTCTGGCCAACCCGAGTCCCCCGAGCCCGACATGAGCCATGGATGAGCCAACTGTAAAGTCGCCGTCCCCTACCCCCCCCCCTCGAGGGAACGGCCCCTCTGTGGGCCCGCGGCTGCCCTGCACGCGCACGGGCTCCGCTGGAAGCGTCCAGGCCAGTCCAGGACGACGACGAGGACGACGACGACCACGAACCCCAGGCTGGCTGGCGCGGACGCTGAGGCCCATGGGCGAAGGCTCCCTGCGGGGCTCGGTGCTGACCCTCATGTCAGCGTCGATCGGCCCCGGCTCGCTGCTGCTGCCCTACATGTTCCGGCTGCTGGGCGTCCCCATGGGCGTGGCGTGCATCGCCTTCGGCACGTACTGCGGCGCGCAGTCACTGCGGCTCATCATGACCGTCGCCCACCTCACGAGGTGCGACTCCTACTCCGCCGGCGTGGCCTGCCTGCTAGGGCCCCTGGCGGGCAACGTGTTGTCCGCCGTCCTCTCTGTGACCATGGTTCTCGCCACGGGCACTCAGCAGCGTCCAACCTGTCCCCAGCCCCACTGGACCTTGGTATCTCGGCCCCGCCAGCCCACACTCCGAGTTGGGGAGAGCTGGGGCCCGCGAAGTCCGAAGGCGCAGGCATATACCCCCATCTGGGTGGGCAAGTCGGCCAGTTGTGCCAAGGCCACGCCAGTGGGGGTAAATAGTCGGGCGGGACTGCGTCAATGAAAAATCCTTTCCAGAGCGTTCCGGAACCTTCTCAGAGCGTTCCGGAACGCTCTGAGAAGACCGCGGCGCCCGAGACATCCTCCAGATCCGCCAGATCTCAGAGATTCGATTTGTCCTCACCCGAATTCGTCCTCGTCCTGGCCTCATCTTGGGCGGGGATCGGTGGGGCGATGCTCAGGCACGCACCTGAAGTTCCTGGCTGGCCTGCTCCCCTGCCTGCTGCCCGACGGTGCGACGGCCAGTTTGGACGCCCGAAATGGGTACTGAAAGAATGGGTACAATGCCCAACAACAACTCCTGTTCATTTTCAACAGGATTCGCTGTCCACGCCGCCGCGCCCTGTGTCCATTCGAGACAGAAGGCCGCCTGCCCAACAGCGGCCGCTGTTGGCTTGGGACAACATTTGTTGTTGGGCATAGTGCCCATTCTTTCCGTACCCATTTCGGGTGTCCAAAGCCAGCACCGCGCGCTTCACCGCCATCGCGCTGGTCTTCCCGCTGTGCGCGGTCCGCGACGTGGGGGCCCTGCGGTACGCCGCCATGGTGGGGCCCGTCTTCCTCGTGTACGTCACGGTTCTGCTCGTGGTGCTCGGGGGAGGGAGAGTAAAACGACGCGAAGATCGGGACAAAATCGGATCGGGATAACTCGAAATCTCTGAGAATCGGCGGGTTTGGAGGATGTATTGGGCGCCGCGGCCGCTCCAGAGCGTTCCGGAACGCTCTGAGAGCGCTCCGGAACGCTCTGGAGCGATTTATCCCGATCCTAGCCCTGTTTTAGAGAGGCACCGATGCCGCTGCCCTTCTCTCGTGTGCGCCCTCTTGGCCTCTTGGGCCTCCTCCCGGCTCCCAGACCTGAGGTGCCCTGGTTGTGTTCGATGCCGACTCTCTTCCCCGGGGCCAGTTTTCCATCCCGAGTCGTTTTTGACAGTCCTGGGGCAAGGCGAGGGCCCCCAGAGGCCGAGAACGACAGAAAACTTCCGTCTTGAATTTTGTTGCGACGGGAGCATGTCTGGGCTGGCTGGGTGCGCCTCGGAATTCTGGTCAGAACACACTGGGAGAGGTGCCAGGAGCAGCTGTATCGGTACGGTGGGGGCGTTGGTGAAGAATGTGCCACAGTATGCTTCGGACCCTGGGGGATGCCTTTTCTCACGAGGGCGGCGGCGACATCCATGGCCAGCTCCGCTGGCTTTCAGACCCTGGATTCCTTACCGAAGGTTTTCCGCATGGTATGTTCATGCGGCGATGGCGCGCTGGCGACGCCGGCGCAGGCGTTCTAGGTTCAACTCCGCATGTCAAAACGACGCGGAAGCAAAGAGAGACAGGCTAACGCCACAGGTCAGCCGGGCACAGAGTGGGGTAATTAGTGTGAGGGGGGAAGGTTTCAGTAGAAACACCCCTGCGTCTTAGCAGGCGCGGGCCTTCTCTATGGATGTAGGGCCAGCGCCTTCCAAGAAGCAGCCTCCTTCTAAGAAGCCTCCCCCCCTCTCCCCCACCCCCTTGCGCGCGCTCCCAAGTACTTAAAGCAACAGGGCCCGACGGGATTCAGCCCTGAACGATCGGGGTCCGCGTGCGGTTCCAGGTGGAGGGACTGGTGCGAGATACATCTAAGTATAGATATGTATATATAGGTGTATATATATATATATATACACATATACATGAAAGAGAGAGAGAGAGAGAGAGAGAGAGAGAGAAACAAAGAAAGAGAGAAACAACAATAAACAAAAAACAAACAAAACGTTTGCGCGCGCCGACGCCGTACGGACCTTTCGGTAGGTTTGCGCTGCGTGGGCGCGGCGGCGACCCCGGCGCGGGCGTGTTCGCCATCGGGGGGCAGCGGGTCTCGAGCTGCGTCGCCGTTTTTGTTTCCCTGGGGCCCCCCACGGGCGGGCCTGGGATCCGCTGCCGTGCGAAGTGCGGTCGGGGCTACTCAGGAGGGAAAAACACACACAGACACAATGGATCGTCGAATCCCCAGAAGATATGGGAAAGTATGGGAAGTGAGGGGGAAGACGAACACCCAGAACAGATGGGAACAAAACACACAGACACAATGAATCGTCGATTCCCCAGAAGATATGGGAAAATATGGGAAGTGGGGGGGGGCAGGCGAAAACCCAGAACATATGGGGAAATCTGGGGAATCGTTTTATTTGTGTGTAGTTATCTGGGTGTCCCAGGGCCCCTTCAGTTACACGCCGCCAGCGGCCCAGACTCGGCCGATGTCGAGCGAGCTGCACCATCGGATCGCCGCGGGCGTTCCAGGTGGAATGTTCTCCGCGCGGCGTCGGAGACCGACGCCCGCGGGACAACAAAACACAACAAACACACACACACACAAAATCACATACAACATACACATACAAAACACACACACACACACAAAAAAAATACAAACACACACACACACACACAAAAACACACACACACACCAACAACACACACACACACACAAAAACACATACAAAACACACACACACACAAAACACACACACAACACACACACACACACACACAACACACAAGCACACACACACAACAAACACACACACACATACAAAACACACAGAAAAACACACTGTGGGACAACAAAAACACAAAAAACATAACTCGACGCGAACCTGTCGTATCCTTCAGTCGGGCATGCCCCTCCACAGCTCTACGGGCCCTGCAGGAGGAATCGTCCAACGTTTGTGAAACATAGTCTGGGGGCGACTCTTTTAGACTTCGTTTGTCAAGTTTCGATTTCTTTGATTCCTTTGCCTATGTCTCACAGTTCTTCCAACATCCGCCTGTAGCAGGACATGCCCAGCCTAACCGTATCCAATGCCCCCTCTCCCCTCCCAGGTGCGAGCCGCCCTCCCCGGCGCGGCCGGGGCGGACGCCGCCACGGCCTTGAGCCCGGCCGGCGCGGCGGCGGGGCCGAGCTCGTGGGAGGCCTTGAGCGAGCTTCCCCGGGCCTGGTCGATAGGAGAGCTTTTTTGTCCTACACGTCGGGGGCGGACAAGAGGGGGGTGATGACTAGGGGGGGGTGGATATCATGGCGGGGGCCATGACATCTCCCCAGATTTCAGGGCGCCTCTTCTTAGTTCATGACGTCCCTGGCCCCCCCGTTGGGCCGCGCACATGCCGCCGGTCATGATTTGCACCCCCCCCTCTTGGACACCCCCCTCTTTGCCGCTCCCGAATACGTGCTCGCGTCGCAGCAGAGCTCAGGCCAGGTGTTTCGTCGGTTTCGGCCTCCGGGGGCCCTCGCCAGGCCCTGGGGCCGTCATGGAAATCTTGCCCAGGAGCAGTGGTCGGGGTTTCCCGTGAGTCCGTATTGAAATCATTCGGGCATTGCGTGCATAGGTTTATTTCCTAGCGATACGGGGTGTGACCGGAGGGGGAGGGGGGGGGGGGGGCGTGGGCCAACCTTTGTAGGCATTCCCAGGAGGCGCTGGCGCGAATCGTGACGTGGCCAGGGGAAGGGGGGGGGGGAAGGGGGAGGGCGGGGCCGGTTACGGGCGTGATCGCGAATGACAAAGATCTCGGGGGCTCTAGTGCTCAACGCCCTGACGTGCCACCACGTGGCCGTGCCCGTGTTCCGGCAGCTGCACCGCGCTAGGGCGCAGCGCGTGAACAAGATGATCCTGCGGTCCCCGAGGAGGGAGAAACGGCATATCGAGCCCCGAATCATCAGGGGTAACTCGGGTCAGGGCTAACTCGGGTTCGCTTTTCGGGATTCCGAACCCGAGTTACACCGGGCCCGAGTTACCCCTGATAACTCGGGCGTCCAGAGCCCCAATTCAGCAGGGGTAACTCGGGTCAGGGCTAACTCGGGTTCGTTTTTCGGGAATCCAAACCCGAGTTACCCCGGACCCGAGTTACCCCGGATAACTCGGGCACCCAAGCATAATCAGAAGTTTTCGGAGCCCCGCGCGGGTTTCTTCGATCGGCGCTGCGCTGGCCCCCCCCCCGCCCCTGGCGGCGCGTCCAGCTCCACCCTCGGCGCGCTCCGCACGCCAGGGAGGGTGGGTCAGTGCTGATCGCGGAAAACGCGTGTGGCTCCGACAGCTTTTTTTATGCGTGTGCCATCTGTTGCTCCTCTATTCGGGTCAAGCGAAAGGGGGGGGTTGGGAAAGGGGGGTGTACGAAATCTGCTGCATGCAGCTGGTTTCGGCCCGACCGAGGGGCCCATTCCTCGATACATGGGCGCCTCCCGGCGCCGGGAGGCGCCGGGAAAATCAGCTACGTGAGCTGACTCTCAAACCCCCCCTTTGCTATCCCCCCCTTTCGCCCGACCCGATCTACAGTCGGGGCGCGTGCCAAGAAACCAGTTGGATTTTGCCAGGGTGCCCTGGGTTTCTTGGATTTCGGCGGGCCCCCAATAAGATCTTGACGATTTTCGATCGACAAATTTGAACTTTCACTGAACAAATCGCGGATTTCACGGTTGGGTTTCTTGCGGAGGCTTCTTGTGGCCGAGCCCCCACTGTATGCGTGTGCCATCTGTTACTCCTCTAGGTCCGTCACGTTCATGTCCTCCATGTACACGCTCATCGGCCTCGCTGGGTTCGCCTCCCAGGGCGCCGACACTCCAGAGAACATCCTCCTGGCGTTTCCCGCCACGGACTCGGCCGCGGCGCTCGGGCAGGCGCTCGTCGGTTGCATCCTGATGGTCTTGGGGGGCGGGGGGGAAGGCACACCACCAGGAGGATGGGGGCGGCGGCGGGGGGATGGGGCGCGCGCAGGCGGCCCTCGTGTGCCCGTTCGCCCCAGGGGCCGGCACGTTTTCCTTAACGTTAGATGCTCGTTTGGGGGACCTTCCTGAGGCCCACCTAACGGATCTGTTCGATTCTAGTTCGACTCAAGTTCAACTCAAGCTCGACTCAAGTTCGACACAAGCTCGACTCAGGCTCGACTCAGGTTCGACTCAAGGTCGGCTCGAATCGACGGTCGTTCGACGCAGCTTCGCCGCACGAGTGGAGCGAGTGTCTCCAGGAAGGTACCCAGAGTGAGCATCCATTTTTTCAGGTTGCCAGTCTCATGGCTGCCGTCCTCGCACGACGCCGAGGCTGCCATGGCGCGGGAGACCCCCCCCCCACCGCAGTGCCGGCAAGGGCGGGGTCGCCGCGAGCTTTCGGCCGTTCGGCATAGGACAGGACGACGCCCACGACAGGTCTTCGGCAGAAGGGCCAAGCCCGCTGATCAAACAAACGACTTGTTTCGTGCTCCATCGTTCATTTTGTCAGGACCGCTGTGAGTGGCGACATCTCACAGCGATGCCCGCGACAGGAGCACTACTGCAGTAGGAGGAGGGGGAGGGGGGACGAGGCTCCACACGCGGCTCGTGGAAGGGCCTCGGCAGTGCGGGAGCAAGATGGGGGCTGGGAGGGGGCGCAGGAGCATCGCGGCAAGGAGGAGGAGGCAGAGGAGAGGGGGTCTGGGAGGGGGATGCGAATGAACATTTGGAAGTGCAGGATGGAGAGGAAGAGGGGCAGGAGGAGCGGTGGGAGTGGGAGTCCAGCAGCCCAGCTCAGGCGAGTCAGCGAGCCCCGCCCACCCTCACTCTGCGGACGAACGGCGCGAGCGCGCGGTCCTCCTCCTCCTCCTCCCTCAGCCTCCTCCTCCTCCTCATCCTCCTCCTCCTCCTCCTCCTCCTCCCTCCTCCTCCCTCCTCCCTCCTCCTCCTCCCTCCTCCCTCCTTCCCTCCTCCCTCCTCCTCCCTCCCTCCTCCTCCTCCTCTTCCTCCTCCTCCTCCTCCTCCTCCTCCCATGCCGCTACCCCTCGCCCGTGTCCCTCACTGTCGCCCTCCTGGGAGGCCCTCGTCGCCACCGTTGGATTCGCTTCGAGATTCTGGCCAGCACGCACCCCAGGAGAGGCCCCGGGGAGAAGCCGTATCGATGCCTCCTTGGCTTCCCCAACTCAGCCCCATTGTGCGGAGCCGGTTTGGCGAAGACAGGAACATGCGCCACACCCTATTATGTTTAACAGAAGGAAGGAGTGGTCCTAGAGGTTTTGCGCGAGTTCTTGTGCGGGATGTCTTGTGCGGTCTTGTGTTGGCTCTGTCTTGTGCGAGGTCTTGGCCACACTGGCGGACTCGTACTCGCACATCTGTGTTGGACAAACACTTTTCTGCATAAGTCGTCTTGTGCGCATCCTGTGCGCGACCAATCTTCGCTCGACCATTGATTCTGTGAAAAATAACAGTTGGAGCGCCGTTGTTCTACGACATCTGCGCCGCGCGTCCGCGGGATCGACATCTCGCTCGCTCGAGACCCGGCCGCCGAAGAAGGAGAAGTCGGTTGATTGACGCTTCAGCGAGAGCGCCATCTCGCAGCACTACTCACCAATCCACCCCAACCCGACCCGAAGGCCCCAATTTGCCCTCCATTTCCAGTGGGGGGGGCTTCGGGAGTCTTGAAACACACACAGGAGGAACCCGTACCCCTCCCAAACCCGAAGAGTGTGGGCCTTCGGGTTGGGTTGGGGTGGTCTGGTAGGCAGTCATCGCAAGCCCGCGCGTGCGCGTGACCCCGGCCGCGTCACGATTGCGAGCGAAATGTGTGCGCCACGCCAACTCGGTGAGCGCAACTTTCACACCGAGTACAGTCGGGGCCCTGAAGAAGGAACCCTTTTCGTTGGGGAGGGGCTCCGTGTTCCTTAAGTGTTTCACAGCTCGCCTCAGGTTTTCCCCATGTTTTTGATCGGAAATCAAAGGTTAACTTATGGAAAAAAGAGGCCTCGTTCCTTATTTTGGGTTCCTTAGGTCAAGGCTCCGACTGTACGCAAAGCGCGCAGGCGGAAGCAGCAGTTCTTTCTCCCGCGCGGGAGGTGCGCCGCGTCGCGCTTCTGCCGCACACTCTGCAAGAATCGACGACAACACTCGGACTGGACGAAAGGGGGGGATTGGGAAAGGGGGGGGTACGAAATTTGCTGCATGCAGCTGGTTTCGGCCTCACCGAGGGGCCCATTCCTCGATACATAGCCGCCTCCGGCGCCAGGAGGCGCCGGGGAAATCAGCTACGTGAGCTGATTCTCAAGCCTCCCTTTGCTATCCCCCCCTTTCGCCCGACCCGAAACACGCCGACTCTGGAAGGGAAGCGTCGACTGCGTATTGCTGTTGGGGAGCGGGGTCGATTGGCCCCCTACTGTGTTCCCGTCTGCCGGCCAGGTGGCAGAGTGGGAGAATACACGAACAAGGCATGCGGGGGAACAGGAGGGAGGAGGAGGAGGAGGAAGAGGAGGAGGAGGAGGAGGAGGAGGAGAAGAAGGAGGCGAAGGAGTGGAAGGTGTATAATCGCAGGCAGGTGCGGGAGGTAGACATGGGAAGGCCCATGAGGGATGGTATATAAAGTGAGGGAAGGGAAGGAGTGAAAAGCACATCGGGATCTCGCCGCGGCCCCGCGGGCGCGCAGCCCTGCATCCATACAAGCACTGGGCATGCCCCCCTGGCACCACCCCCCAGCTCAGCTGCTCTTAGGCGCAGCACGTGCCGTGGTCAGAACGGCCGTGCTGACACGCGGCGTGTTGGCTCCGCACGTGCCGGCCCACGTTTTGGCGAACGCATCGCGCCAGACCTGCGTGTTCAGCCTACGTGCTGAGCACCGCGTCATCACGCTACGTGTCGCGTGCTGCGCATCGGGGCAGCTAACACCCATGACCGTGTTTCTGGCCCTTCAAAATGTTTATCCTCGCAACCTCCGCTTCAATTTGCTTGTCGGTTTGGATGTCCAGGCTAGCTGTCACGCGCGGCGAAGTACAGTCTGGGATCGCGCTCTCCTCCCCCTCCCCCCCCTCGAACATAAGATCGGGGCAGCTAAGCACCCCAGGTCTCGATCCCGCTCTGCGTGGCCTCGCTCCGGGTCCAGGTGCAGCACCTCTTCCCGCCCGAGCTCGCCCGCAGCCCGACTGGGCACGCGGCCATCACGGTGCTGCTCCTGCTGCTCCCCACTGGCATTGGCGCGTTCTTCCCCAACGTCACGTCCATGCTAGGCCCCCCTCCCCTCCCCTGACGAGCGAACAACGCACACTCATACCCACAGGGAGAACGGGGTGGGCTACGGGTGCATGTTGTCAGATGGGCGTCACCGCTCGAATGGGAGCCTCCCCTGGGGTCCGAGGGTCTGGGTGTGTGTTGTTCGTTCGTCATCCCCCGAATTAGGAGAACACTGCGCAAACATGAACTTTGGAAGTTCCGCGCGGATTTCGTGGATCGTCGCTGGGCCCCCCTGGCGGCGCCTCCGTGGCCGCCCCTGGCGCGCTGCCGGCGCCAGGGAGGGGGGGCCACCGCCGATCCTAGCTATCCGCGCGGAGCTCCGACAAGTTCTGTTCATGCAGTTGTTTCTTCTCCCCATGCGACCAGGAACTTTGGCTTATCATGTCACGCCGCGGGTTGGCCCACCCGGCGCGACACGCTAACCGCGCCCCAATTCCCGAGCGTCAATCTCCTCCTCCTCCTCCTCCTCCTCCTCCTACTCCTCCTACTCCTCTCCTCCTCCTCCTCTCTCCTCCTCCTCTTCTCCTCCTTTCCTCCTCCCCCTCCTCCCTCCTGCGCTCTCCTCCTCCTCCCTCTCCTCCTCCTCTCCTCCTCCTCCTCTCCTCCTCCTCTCTCCTCCTCCTCCTCCTCCTCCTCCTCCTCCTCCTGCGCTCTCCTCCCTCCTCCCTCCTCCCTCCCTCCCTCCCTCCCTCCCTCGTTCCGAGCCGTTCCCAGCTGGCCGCCCCACAGAGCGGGGCGACACGCTATCGGCTTGTAGTGGGGCATGGCGTGCCGCTGGGGCCGCCGCCGCGACACGCTAAGCACAAGTTCCTGTCTTTAGATCCGCTGCGCACGATCGATCAGCGGATGACTGCCGACGAGGTTTCTGTCAGCACCGCCGGACTCCATCTGGGGCTCTGGCATCAGCCGGCGAATGATGGTCGCCTCCCTCCTGCGCACTGCTGATCCTCTTCCCTTCTCTCTGGGAGCACAGTCTTTCTGGCGGCGGTCTTTCTGGCGGAAGGGAGGTCTGACTTGGACGGCCTCGCGGAAGGGAGGTATGACTTGGACGTTTCAGGCTGGTGGCCAGGGCACCCCGCTGGAGCCGAGGCCTCCAACGATGCCCTGGACAGGCGGGGCTGATCCCACCTTCCCCCCCTCTCTTTCCCATCTCTGTCCCCTCTCACCTTTCCCCGCCCCTCCTTACTCCTTCTCGTTGCTCCACTCTCCCGCCGCCATCCCCCTCACTCCTCCGCCCTTCACGCCCCCCCCCCGCTCCCTAAACCTTCCTCCCTCCTGCATACCTCCTTTCTCTTCCCCCTTCCTCCCCACCTCCACGGAGGGGCAAAAACCCGACCCCGAGAACTGGCATGTACCAAGCGGCCCTGGGCGTCTGCCAAAAAACCCTGCCCTGTTCGATCCCTTCCCTGGGTGCGTTTCATGAGTGGCTTCGCTCGTCGGGGTGCTTATTCTGGGCGTGGTTTTTCTGCCCTCTACTCCTCCCCCTCCCCTCCTGTCTCCCTTCTCCCCTGCCCTCCTGTCTCCTTCTGTCTCCCTCCTCCCCTCCTGTCTCCCTTCCCTCCTCTCCCTCCTCCCTCCTGTCTCCTGCCCTCCTCCCCTCCTGCCTCCCTAGGCGTCTGGCTGAGGACACGCCAGACCCCAGCGAGGAGACCGCGCCCCGCCGCCCGCGGTCCCCCGCGCCCTCCCCCCCGCAGCAACGGCCCGCGCCAGGGCCGCCTCGCCCGCCTGGCACAGGCGGGATCGTCTTCGGCGAGCCGAAGCAAGAAGGCTGCTGAAGCTGGAAGAAGCGAGGAAGCGGTTGGACAAGCACCACGGAAGCATGGCGCCCCAAAAGAAGATCCACTCGTGCTGTGGAGGCTGCGGCTTCAAGAAGTGGACCAACCAGAACTGGTGGTGCACGACGTGCTGGAAAGCAGTACCGGTGATCAGCCACGAAGCTCCGAAGCCCACGCCGAAGCAGATGACGTACGCCATGGACAGCTACCAGTGGACCAAGCATGATTGGAAGAAGTGGAACCAGGAAAAGCAGTGGTTGAAGAACCAGCAGAACTTCGCCAGCGGTGATGCCAGTGAGACCAGAAGTGACCTGAGTGCCGCGCTGGCCGACATCGTGGCAAAGTTCGGCAAGAAGCAGTCATCAGCGATTACGACACAACTACAAGGCCTGGCAGAACAATTGGAGCTGGAGAAGCAGGAACTGGATAAAGTTCCCCCGAAGTCCAAGGCAGTTCGGCTGGCAGAAGCGGCGAAGGCCCTGGAGTCAGCCAATAAATGGTACACCCACCAGAACAACAACTACCAGATGCATTTGCAGAAGGGCAAGAAGTTGCAGGAGCAGGTCACAGAGGCGGCGGACCAGGTCCTAGCGGCAGAAGAGGCAATTGCACTGATACAGCTAGAAGACAAAGTGGCGCCCAAAGGAGTCATCGAAGAGTTGCTGTGCGGCGACGTTTCGAAGCTCACAGCGGGTGCCATGAAAGACTTGGAGTCAGAGTTGACAGCAGACAAGGACTTAGATGAAGAAGCCTTGGCAGAAATTGCACGAGTGAAGCAGCAGGTCGTGACGCAGCTGAAGCAACAGGCGGACTCCTTCCAGCAGCAGCTGCAGAGCTTCGTGCAACAAGCAAAAGATAAAGCAAAAGAGCAGAAAGCGGAGATCAAGCAGAAGGCGAAGAAGCGGAAAGCCGAGGGAGGTGAACCCGTGAAAGAGGAGGAAGGTGCTCCTAGCGCGGGAACCGCCCAGGCCAGTGACACACCACCATCGGATACCCCAACCCCGACAAAGGACGAAGGCAAAGGCCAGGACTCGAAAGACATGAAGCCCGAGAACGACATCTTGCAGCAGAAAAGGATTGCGATGGCCAAGGCAGCAGGTAAAGGTGCAGGCCCGCCTGAGGAAGCCAAGAAAGAGTGAAGGGCAGCGCCAGGGCGCAGCAGAAAGACCGACGCTGCGCCCTTGAGGCGCCTTTTCGTCGGCAAGTTTTCTACATGGGGTCCGAAAGCGGACAAATGGTTGAGGAAAGCTGCATTGGCCAAGTCTGGGGACCACGGCTACTTCGACGGCTTCGCGTTCCAGGAAACGCACCTCAGTCATGGGGAAGTGGAACCACACGAAAGACTTCTTCACGGTATGGGCCTGAAGGCGGTTGCGTGTGCGGCAAGACCATCAAAAACATCTACGACTGGCACGAATGGGGGTACCAGTATTGCTATTCGATCACATATGAGATCTTCAACTTACAGAGAGTTGGCCACAAGACAGTCTGTCAGTGGTGCGATGGCTGGGGCTAGCGCAGGGAACCTCGACAGCGACGGGAACGGCCTGGAATTCTGTGATTGGGTGCCGATGGCGCGGCACCTCAAGGGCTACTCAATTGTGATCATCAGTATATATTTAGACGGGGGTGTGGCACCGACGGCAGGTATCAACAGTAAGAAGTTGGCGAGCTTGTCGAGCTTTTTAAACGGTATCGACCACCCTTGGATTATTGTGGGAGATTGGAACCACTCGCCGCAGCAGATTTGGCAGAGTGGATGGCCGAAGCAAATGGGGAGCGCAATTTTGTCTCTCCCAGAAGGATCTTTTACTTGTTTCAAGAAGGGTAGCAAGCCGTCGCTGATCGACTTCGCGCTGGTGAGCTACAAAGCGGAACGCTATGTACGATTTATTGAAGCAGTTACAGATGTGCCGTGGAGACCTCATATTGGGCAGTGCATCGGGATTGATGGGGAAGCGAGATTCAACATCGTGAGGACGCTCACCATGCCGCGCCCCTTTATTCACCCAAAGTTGGAGAAAAAGGCTCCAAACCCCAATAGCAAGAGGCAGAAAAAGTTGCAGAAGTTGCAGAATGAGACCGGCACTCAGGAAGTTGTTCAAGTGGATGTTGGACGCGAGCAAGCTGAAGAACAACAACGCCTACAACAACTGGAGGAAGCACGATGGGAAGCACTCACACCATGGGGTTGGCAAGGTTTCCCTGTGGAGCAGAAGGTCAGACATACTTGGGATGATGCAGATGTGGACCCGTTTGACGAAATCGAGGGCGAGATGGACCCAGGACCAGCCACAGCTGAACAACAACTGGAAGCGATGGGCGGCGAGACCGACACGGACGAAGGGGAGCTAGATGGATCGAGAGGTCAGGACCTCCATGTCGACACGCTAGATGGCACGAATGGTCGGGACCTCCATGTCGCCACGTCGGATAGCTCGAACAGTCGGGGCCTCGCTGTCGCCACGTCGATAGATAAAGGTCAGGACATCAGGTCTACCAACCTCCCCACCATGTGCATGGGCGATATTTGGACAGGTATTGCTCTGCAACCTCACGACCATCGAGAACGTGAAGGACCACCTGATGAAATCAGGAAGAGTGCATCGTTCCTAGCCACGGAGACGGAGGCGATGTCCTTAGGCACGCAGTACGCGAAGCTGATGCAGAACATGGAGAACTTCTACTGCACCGCCTACAAAGTTCCTCTGAAAGATCGAAAGATGTTCTGTGGGAGAGGTGGAAAGCGAGAACTGAAGATTAAGGAAGTCAAGGAATATGGACAACGATACCCAAGGTTTGCGGACTACAAGGCGGATTGGTGGAATAGAACAGCAAATACCTTGAACACGATCGTGCAGCTCTCAAAGAAGCACAAGGGCAGTGAGATGATCAAGAACGCAGCCAAGACGTGCAGATATCTGGCGATCGAAGGGCTACCACCACTGGGCAGAAATACATCGGCGACGGCCAAGCTGCACAGGAAGATATGGAAAGACCGCCTCCTGAACATCGAGAAGCAGGACATCCCCATCCTGGAAGGAATGCAAACACAAGCAGAAGAACAAGCTGGGAAAGCTCTGAAGGAGGACCTGGCGAAAGGAAGACGAGCCTACACCAAGTGGCTCCAAGACACGGCCAAGGAGAAGCCAGGTACGATTCACCGCATCACCAAGGACGCGAAAAGGTACGAGCAGGAAGTGATACAGGACAACGTGAAG